GTTGGCAACAGACAAACTGGCTATATTAACACATCACTGTTTTTAATATTACAGCTGCCAAGATTAAAGGCAGTTTCTGCGCTACTAGTGTCATCTAGTGGAACTACAAAAATAAAAGTTTTCAAACAACCTTTGCAAATGCCCCTTTCATGTGTTACACTTCAACTAACTCAAACAACACAAACACAGCTCTTACAGGTCTATAAAAGTGAAGGCATGCCTCAACATGTAGGCAACTTTCAATAAAAGGTCCAACATATTAGGAATACTTTTACCTTAAGTTTAGCTTACCTGTTGAGAAAAAAAAAAAAAAAAAAACTTGAAACTCAAACATTTCATCAAATTCCTCAATCTTTGTTTACAAAACATGATGGTCATGAAATACAGTATCAGAATTTTATTTGATGTTTCTCTAGGTTACTTTATATAATGCACATTATACTGCACCAAAAAGGAGCTTCTTTACCTAACAGCAGTATTGTGATTGATGGACAGACATAAGTTGTTCAGAACACACCTTCTTGATTACATACGACGATGACGCACGTTTAAGGGGCGTGTTGAGGAGAATAGTGATGCCGTGATTCTTAAGATTTTAAATCTGGGCATTTCAGAAGGGTAGAAAATAATTCTTATTGGCGAGTTAGTTTGAGTTCTGAAACTTGCATTATGTTTTCAATGTAGAAAAATCTCTTGTGTCTAAATATCGAGAATATTTTGATTCTCCATTTCATGACTCTGGCTTTTTTAAAATGACTATATGAATATGACAGAGCACTTGGCATTGATTATGTTCATTAATATTAATATCATATTGGCCAATTGGGTAACATGTATATCAAAATAAACAGATCATAGCATTTTCAAGCATTTCTAATTTGACTAAAATTACTGAAGCCAAAACTGCACTTCGAGACAGAGAAATAAACCCCAAAATAACTATTCTATAAATATATGATAAAAATAAAAATGTGAGAAACTGATTAAATAACTGCTACAGAAGTTAAATGCTGTAAATATTTTAACATAAAAGTTTAAAAGGTTTTAGAGTTAACTTGGCAATATGACACACATCAAATAATTTTTTTTTTTTTTCTTTACTTGTCTTTGTGTTGACATCTAAGTGCAGTAGTTTTAGAGAGCTTTAAGTACATAAGGATTACACTGGCTTAACGATTCTCAACATAACATATACAAATATGCTTCATCTCTGGGTCAATTCTGCTGCATAGTAAAACGTTTCATTAGGAAATGTAACAATATTTATATAACATGGGCTGGTGCATATCAAATGTATTGCTTTGCCATTTTAAGACATTACATAACAGCATTAACATTGTACCTTTGGAATATGCGTACATCTGCACACACACACACACACACACACACACACACACACACACACATA